GAATAAGATCTCAAACGTTTCAAGACTTGCAAACGGACATGCTGTTTTAAAATTCTTCTCGATCTAAATTTGAAAAGGAATTCCCAACAGAGACTTCAGAAGAGCGGTTGGTGAGCATACGTAAGCTTTCGATAAATCCTCACCAGGCCATTACTTTTCTTGGAAAAGGGGGTGAAAAGTAAGCACACGGCCAATTACGTTCGTCATTACATGCGAATTAGTCGTGGGAATAGGGGAGTGAGTTGGGGTCAATAAAAGGCGGCTGTTTACGCGACATGTGGGGTAGGTCTCACCAGACTGCTCCAAGCCCCTGGCTCAGCGTACGCTAGCAACAGCCGAAATAACCGCTATCCGATTGAGTATGCCGGTCTTGTGCGCGCGAAAGAACCCTCTATAAGCTCCACGCTTGGCATGGCCAATGGTCACTTAACTGAATGCGCTTTTAAATGCTTTCTCTCTCTCCTCCCCTCTCTTCCCGGTCCGGCTTCAATAAACCCGCACTATCGCATAACCAGTCGCCTGTTATCGAACCTCGACCTCCTCCCCCTCCCCTATTTCGATGACTAATCTGCATGTAATAACCAACCTAAATTGACCGCATGATTACCTTTGAAATCCTTCCCATATAGATGTAATGGCCGATGAGGATTTATCAAAAGCTTACGCATGTTCGCCAGCCGTTCTTCTCCAATTATTCACTACCGGTTCGATATTCATTTTTCGCGCACTTCAAGTTACTTTGCTGATGGAAAGATGTCCTAACAAATTATAGACTGACCTCTACCTAATGGGTGCACCTGAGCACATTTTTATATGTGTTTATATCTTGGCGGCATCCCATTCGAACTGATTTCAACGAAACGGCAGCAAACTCCTTTATAACCGCGCAGTTAACGACAGAACTACATTATTGATTGTTTATTTTGTGAAGTGACGAAAAAGATGAATGGTGCTGTAGGCATGTTACTTAAAGCATTTAGCCATTTATCTGGCAAAAAGATATCTCCATAAGGTAAAGAAGGTTTCGAGCTGCATAGATGGGGGTTTTGATATTTTTTCTCTTTCAGTAAGTAGTTATTTAAAGGAAGACATTGTAGTTTCATTTTGTGTGGCTTCCCACGAAAGAAATTAACATTCCAATATCCAGTTTTTGTACATGTGTACATCGAATTGTAAAAAAAAGGCTCAGATCACATTATAACCACAGGAAGGTCTCGCCGCCAGTTTTCTGGTCTATGCTAAGTTAGCAGCCTCACCCGCATCCGTAGACAACATGTTGGTTGCCGTACGTTTGGGCAATAATGTGCTGTTGGGGTCGTTGCTTTGAACATCAGTCTGTTGGTTGGAGCACCGAACCTCTTTCGTCCGAGGGTGAATGGAGTAGTTGTGTATATCAACCGTCAAACCCCTATCTGTTGTAGTGCTGGTGGGTATGTTGACCGCTCTGTCACGTTCAGCACACCACCTACTGTTGCACTCACACAGGACACCCTGCGTAATTGTGGGTCGGGTGTGTGAAGTGGTCACCTGAAACGCTGGGGTCATTTGTGGTTTTAGGACATCCGACTTTAGAATTTCGTTGAAGGAGAGACTCTGCGCCAGTTCCTTTTTCATCTCCTCTCTCTGCATGTCGTAGGCCACCACTTGAATCGGCCCTCCATGCTTGCCTCCCTCAGTACCCAATGTAGATCGAACGGTGCCTGAAATTGACGCCAGTGGTTGTTTTTGGCCTTTGTTGTCGCTCTGTGGCATAAAACCGACGGCAGGGTCGATGCCTGCATGCAAAAATACCTGCTGCTGCCTTGTGGATTTCTTACTGATCCCGCCGCCACTGATCGGACGAAGCTGAAGGTAGGGACCGGCAATATCTATCTTTTCCGTTCCAGCCTCAAGGAGAATTTCATTGTCATTTAGGAAAGGATTTTCGAGGGTCCTGGGTGAAATGTTGCCTTCTTTAGGTAGGCTATGTGACAGAGCTTGGAGAGGATCAGCGTCCTTGGTCGTATGAATCTGTATTGCACCCCTAGGTAGGAAAGTTATGCTTTGTTTTGTCGGTTGTTGCGTCTGACGATGACTCCTGTTTTCTGTCATCGTATCCGTCGCGAGACATGGATTACTTATTATGATACCAGAGGCATTTTGCTGGTAGTTATTCTCGCCTGGATTAGGAAGAGCCTGGGTGATGATGCTGGCATTTGTAGTCGAAGAAGTCACGGTACGAGGAAAAATATCTGAGTTGTACAAATTGGGGTTAAGTTCTACAACATCTGTCGTGTTCGCATCAGGTTTCGTTTGACTAAATATGGAAGAAGGAATGAGAATGAAATCCGTCCGTTGACTAGGAACTAGTGAGCATCGTGGCAGTGTCGTTTCGTTGACGGCTGTCTGGTGGAATAGAGGAGTCTGCATCCACGGTTCATGGGAAACAACCAGGTTGCTATAGGTGGATGGAGGAGTGCAGTCCTGGAGACGAGACGAGCAGTTGACGTATTCGTAGGACTTCATGTTTTGAAACCCACCTTCTTCACCAGGTGCTCCACCCGGATCGCGTAGTCCTCCATCTACCTGGTACTGCATCGGTTCACGGCGGTTACACCCTCCATCGACGGGGGGAAAGATGTGCTTTTGGCGCAGAGCAATGAGGGATACCAGGCCCACGGTTATGACAACAATAACTGTGACAGTAGAAATGACCACGAGTTGGGCTTGAGTTAAGCAGACTGCGAAATCACAGGCATACTCCGATTCGAAGTTGAGGTTTTCAGTTGTGCCTCCAGAAATGCCTTTTCCGTTTGAATTTGCGGAATGTGTTTTGATATGCTTTAGGCTTGCTGAAAATTAAAATGAGGCAATATCATTTGGAATAAGGTAATGCGATGGTTCACAAAGGCACAACTAAGTAAATATTCTGATAAAACATAAGATGTAAAAATATACTGTCGAGGTCTATGCACATCTATAAAAGTAAGATGTATGATGCAGTTGGCGAATGCGATTGAATAAGAACCCGTTATGCGAACGCTCATTAAAAAGTGCTTGAATGGGTAAACTTATTTGAATCATTTGAGATGACCCTATGAGAAAATTTTATTACATATAATTGATCCAGTTCTTTAAAATTCTCGGCCTCATACATGATTCCGTTAACGACTTTAACCTTCAGCATGACAGAGATGGCGATTTTCATAATTCTTTGTAATGCATTCCGAAATATATGACCCGTAATGTAATAAGATCTGTCAAGCGAATTCGGTCCGATGGAGGAGTATTCGGATGGACATCCGCCTTCTAGACCTAATGCAGCATGTCTAGCTCATTTATGCAATAATGCTGTTATCAGGAAGCTTTCCATGTATGATTGTTGAGTCGAACGTTTTACAACGGGTGCAGAGAAGATCTCTCAGGCAAGCTAATGGTCTATCGGAAAATCTGATACTTTCGTAACTTTATGGGCTGATAAATTGATACGTTCACCATTACGGGGGCCGTTAGGGTAGAGGAGGAACGTAGAGGTCATTTTTTTGCACGAAACTGCGGCCACTGCAGATGTGCATTGAACATGCTTATAAGGTTTAATTATCCCTATTCCACAGCGGAAGGAAGGACCAACATTCCGGGACGCATTACAGTGACCAATGGGCAATGAGATTGTACATATTACAAACAAATCACTTCTATGATCTACTTGTGTGATACATGAACTAACAGGATATTTAAATTGAAGACGACCGTCAGAACAGCAAGGTGAACGTAGATTAATTATATTTATAGTAAGCATTGTTCAAGTATAAATATGAAATATTTGGAGAAATAAATAATGCTGATTAACAAGTCATGCTTCCTAAACCTTCCTCCTAAGGGTGCACTCAAAAGCCCCTTTTCATGGAGAGTTGATAAAACTCATATTAATACTAGCGTTATTACTGGTTTCGACGTCGGTTTAAATCATAAATTCTGTTTCAGCTACTGGAGTAGACTGTTAGTAACCTCGGTGGGACATTTCGAAGCTAGTCCATCATTTAAATAGCATTTATATATGAGTATAATAATCAGACGTGAACGTAATAGATTTTACGCTTACGAATACGAAAACGATAATCTGATAATTCCCATAAGAGAATTTGGAATTCTAGTTAGGTGAGTATACGTGTACTTTCGGCAAATTCTCGTCAGGCCTGGGTGCAAGTTCAAACGTGTTCGTCTTTTTGGACAAGTGATTCGTGTAGAAAAGAAAACACGATTCCTCAAAGTCCCCTTCCGAGGGGACGCAGCAAGTGAACTGCTGAAAAGATGCCTTGACCAAGCCGTTGTAAGAACCTTCCCAGCAGCCATAGTCTAGGTATTATTCTCAACCAACCCAATCTTACATGGGGAAGGTAGGATAGGTTACCAGCTCAGACCAA